TAACCTGGAGCTAACCTGGAGTTAACTTTGAATTAACCCAGAGTTAACCTTGAGTTGATCTGGAGTTAACCTGGACTTGATATGGAGTTAACGTGGAGTTAACGTGGAGTTAACCAGGAATTGATCTGGAGTTAACCTGTCATTCTGGAATCTAACATAGAGAAGTTTCATTGGAAACAAATTTGTTCACATTCTTCTGGCTCACACATCAAAGTGACAGAACTACCTGGACAGGAGGTCTCCTGATGCTGTCACCTCAGGTTTACTGGAGCAGGTCACCATGTTTCGGACCCGGGCCAGGTCGGGCCTCACCACGGATGCTGCTGCGACAGCTCTGGTGAAGAGCTGCAGGGCATCTTTGATGTAGAATTCGAGTGGTTTCTGGTCCACCTCTCCATAGGCCAGCAGGCCGAGTGGCAGTCCGATGGTGTGCAAAACATCTGGGCTGAGTGGCTGGCCCAGCACCCAGTGCACCATGGGTAAGGTCAGACCGAGGTCCTGAGCGCTGCGCAGCACTGCTGCAGCACACTGTGGGTCAGCACCAAACAGAAGCACCGATGCCGGCAAGGCCTGGTTCTGTTTGAAGTGTCGGGACAGGAAATCACGGATCTGTGTGTCGTCGTGGGCCGACTGCGTCAGGTTCAGGAGGGCCCGCATGTGCCAGGAGGCCCCGCCTACATTGTCCCATGATGCAAAGCTTTGAGTGTCCAGGAGCTGCAAAAGGCCGTGAGCCTCCTCCCAGCCACGGCACAGAATCACAGTCCCCTCCCTCCAACCGGACCGCTGCAGAACCGTCAGCAGCAAATTGGACAAAACCGACTCTGGAACCCTGGTCATCATCTGCAGGTGGAACCGGTTCTATGAAATAAAAGAATAAACAGAATCAGGAGAACAGATGATGTAACACATGAAAATGTTCTTCAAATAAACATCAGCATAAAAAGTCAGATAACTGGTGTAGAACCAGATCATTTGATCCAAAACCTCTTTGGAAGTCGTTTTTCTTCTCTGCAAACTCAAAACTGGTCCAGAACCTCAACCGACTAAACAATGGACTCATCTGAACTTTAAGAATAATGAAGTAAAAAGGCAGACAGATCATTACGCTCCAAGATGAGATCAATGAACTGAGACCAGATAGGTTCTGGTCCACTTGGGTCCGAAAACAAGTCAACCATGGGTTCAGGTTAGGTCAGCTCTGATTCTGAGCTGAGATAATTAGATTTATACTTCTTTTATAAAATTTATTTAAAACGTCTTCAGTTGATCCAAAATGCTGCTGCCAGAGTCTTAACTGGAGTTACTGGGAGAGATCATCTCTCTCCAGTTTTAGCTTCTCTCCATTGGCTCCCTGTCAAATCCAGAATAGAATTCAAAATCTTACTTCTAACCTACAAAGCCCTCAACAACCTAGCTCCATCTTATATTACAGATCTTATTGTTCCATATTTTACTAACAGAGCACTTCACTCTCAGACTGCAGGTTTACTTGTGGTTCCTAGAGTTTCCAAAAGCAGAATGTGAGGAAGATCTTTCAGTTCTCAGGCTCCTCTCTTGTGGAACCAACTTCCTGTTTGAAAAAAACATCCCTTTTGTTTTGTCAGCGTTTAGGACAAGTTTGAGACGGAACAAGTCTGACTGGATGATGTCGAAAGCAGACTGTAAAAGATGAAAAAACATTAGCAACGGTTCTAGCTCGACAAGAAACAACTGTGTCGTCAGCATAGAAATGTAAGGATGTAACATTACTTATGTAGGTTGTGAAGAGGGTGGGTCCTAAGACTGAACCTTGTGGTACACCATTGTTAACAGTTAGATAACTGGAGGAAGTACCATTATGTTTTGCACATTTTCTGAATGAATAGTCATGAATGAATAGTTTGTATTTGTAATAGTTCTTTCTTAACGTGTGAGTCTGTCTTTTTCTCTTTCCTCCTAGAGAAAACCTGAGCTGAACTGAGCCATCAGAACCTTTCAGCTGTTCAAACAGCTGAAGGCAACAAACACATGAAGGATTTAAAGAAGAACTTTAATCTTCTTTGTGTTCTTACAGCTGACAGCGTCTGTTTTTGTTTATTTGTTGTTTGTGAAACATTCAGTTGAAGCAGCAACGATGTTCAGAAGTTTCTCCACCCGAGACGAAATGATGCAGCCTGAACATCAGGAGAGGCTCGTTTTCATTGGCTCCCTGTGCACGATGTGCGCACGCTGCTGACAGCAGCGTGAAGGTCACAGGAAGGTCGTATGTGACTGCAGCTGAACTGGTTGATTGCTTCACGGTGGCGCCTCTCCCTGCTGACCCAACATCAGCTTAACTCCAGCTGATGTGGTGCCAGCAGGAGAAAAGGTTTCAACAGGAGGATCGGACCTGAGAAGAGAAGAGGCCTAAGCTGCACCCGTTATCCTGGAGCTTCTTCAGCTTCCTCAAAGATCACTGTTTCTGACTGTCTCTGTTGCTATGGAAACACAGGAAGTTTCAGGACAGGTTGAGCGGTTGTCACGTTGTCTCCGTGACGACGCTCTGACAGAGTTTGACTGAACTGTTCTTCCTCTCTCTTTTGTTCAGCTTCTTTTTGTCAAAGCTGAGATTACCTTCTCAGCAGATCAAACTGTGTGCGTGTGGGATCAAGCACGTGCAGCAGATTGTTCTTGGTTTTATCTGCCATTTCTCTGAACTTTTTAATCTTTGTAAAGCTCCGTTTAACAACAAGCTCAACAGAGTTCAGAAACCACATCTGTTTCAACACCTCGCAGGTACCAGCGAGTGTTAAACATCTGGTTGTGGTACCACTGATTAGACAGCCTGCTCTTGACGCCACAGTGATGTCAGATTTTAGGCCTATTACAAAACTGCCCTTCGTGTCCAAGATCTTGGAGAAAAGTTCAAAGTTCATGGTCAATAATCCGTAAAAACTCCAACAAAGTTGAGTCAGATCCTCTGGACAGTTTCTTTTTGTTGAAATGTTTTGTCTTTTATTCAAACGGAGAAAATAGTTTACAACCAGTTAACATTTTACAACCTTCTTGAAGTCTTTCAGTCTGGTTTTAAAGCTCATCCAGGTACTGAGTCAGCACTGTTGAAAGTTTCCAATGACATTCTTCATCACACATTAGAGATATTTCCCGTTCTTGTTTCTTTCATTTAAGAAACATTTCTAAAATACGACCTCTGGTCTCCAGAGTTGACCTTGAGAAAATTATTCACACTTTTGTGTCATCACGTCTGGACGGCTGTGATGTCCTTTTTACCTGCCTGGACAAGTCTTCTGCTTCACGTGTACAAGTGATACAGAACGCAGCTGCCAGACTTCTCACCAAATCCAGTAGGTCCAGTCACATCACTCTGGTTCTATATTCACTGCACTGGTTCCCAGTTGAGTCTAGAATCAGTTTTAAAGTTCTTGTGCTGACGTTCAGAGCTGTAAATGGCTCCTGTGTCTTTGATCAAACACTCTGCTGCTCGTGGCCTTCACTCCCAGTCACAGAACCTCTTGGATGTTCCACGTACGCAGCTGAAAACTAAAGAGGACAGGACCTTTCAGCCAGTGGCCCCCAGACTGTGGACCAGTTTGACCAGCAGCTTTGTTCTGCTGACTCTGTGGAGGTTTTACTCTCCCACACTTTTATGTCATGATTTTATTCTGCTTCTTATGCTCGTTTTAGTCTTTGTATAATTTAACGTCGATTTTTATTGTACATCACTTTGTAATTTTATGTCTGTGAAAAGCGCTCTATAAATAAACTTTACTTATTTCTTTAGCCACAGACTCTGGTCACTGTGCAGTTTTGATGCTGTTGGACCTAACTGCTGCCTTCGACACAGTGGACCATCAGGTCCTCCTGTCTCATCTGGAGAACTGAGGGAGCGTTCAGGGTCCTGCTCTACAGTGATTTAGATCCTGTTTAACAGAGAGAAGCTTTTGTGTTCGTATTAGAGCTGTTGAGTCCCCTGTAGTGCCTCTCACATGTGGAGTACCTCAGGGATCTATACTTACCTCCCTTCTGTTTTCCTGTTATTTAAGTCCCATGTACACAGACACGACGGGGGAAATGCAGTTTTTCAAATGTTGATTTGAGGACAAAAATCCTCGTTGACATGACCGCATTCGATGTTTACATGTAACCATAGAAAACCTCCCCGAGTCCACTGTAGTTGCCATGACAGGTCATTAGGTGGCACTGTGAATTTTGTACATTCACCTAAAGCACATGCATGCTGCCTGGGACAACTGTCGTTAAGGACTTTCCTCTGGGCTTAAAGCCCAGTAACAACAAAACTTAAAGCCGGATTTTGGAGATGAGTCGACGGATTTGATGCCAATAGGGACTGCTTCGTCTAACAGCCCGACACCGGATGATGAGCGAACCAGCACTGACGAAGATTATGTCGGGCTTCCTACCCCAGGGGTAATTAGTAGCCGCTACAGCAGGTAAATCCATGTTCTTGATAATGTTTTGCTTGTGTTTACTTTGGTTACACAACAACCGAGATTTTATTGTTTATTTTTCCTGAGAGGAGAAGCTATCCTCCCACCTGAGGCAGACCGGTTACAAAAGAGAGCATACACCTCAGCATGCAGGAGGAACTTAAAGAGAGAGATGGTGGGTTGGATGTATCAATGTTTGTGTGACATACAGTTTGTGGTGTTGAATAAATAAAACTAAAAATTAAACCCGATGTTTTCATTTTCAACTTTAATAACATGTGATGTGTTTCACATCATAAACCAAGTTTAATCACATAACTTGAATTACATAATGTCCAGACAGCTTCACTTAGCTCAGATAGCTTCCTTACATCTCCCACCACCAACATAAATACTGTTTATTATTGTTACTGTTATTATTTAGCACATTTAGTTTGTTATACTCCAGCACGATGTGTAAAATGTACGGCTGCCTCTATAGGCTCGTTCAATACATAGCGATTTTGAAATTGACCCGGCTGGCATCTCTTCCCAACACAAATGTCGGTCACAGCACCTACATGCTGGCGTAGATTAATTACAAGACCTACTAAGAGAAAATACATTCCATTAGTCGTTGCACAAAAAGCAATTTGTTATTCTCCAATGCGATTGTTGTTGATAGAAATATGCCATTGGTCCACATGTACGCCTGTAGTGTGCATGTGCTTTCACACCTCAGCGAGGGCTTTTGACACCTCAATGGGGGATACCCCGAAAATCTCTACACAGGGTTCAAAAACTTTAGGTTACTGTCGTAACCCCGGTTCTCTGAGTAGCATGCGTGAGTTTCTCACAATGGGAACACCCTCAGTGTGACCTCATCAGAAGCTCCTATTACATTACACCAACCAGGATTGGCTGGAAATAAGCATGTCAGTGTCAAGCAGGGCAGGGCCATCCCCCTATATATAGGGCTGACGCTGCGGCACTGACAGTTTATTCAAAAATGTTCACCTCTTACTCGCAACTTTAGAACAAGGAGGTTGACTTGGTGAGAGACTCACTCATGCTACTCAGAGAACCGGGGTTACGACAGTAACCTAACATTCTCTTTCATAGCATTTGTTTCGTGTCTCACATTGGGAACGAAAATATACTGAATCCTGAATTGCTCAGCAGATTTCATGTTACCTGCCAGCTAATTTCAATTCTCCTGGGCACTTAGTGCTACATTGAATGAGACAGAGATGATAATGTGACATCAAGTCTATAAGGCCGAGTAAACGTGTGAAGAGAAGCCCAACTTGCTGCGGTACAGATCTCCCGAAAGGATCCCCCTTAAGCGAGGCCCATAAAGAGCTTAAGCCTCTAGTAGAATGGGCATGTAGGCCCTCTGGAGACTGCAGTCCTTTTGAAATGTAGCCTAAGGCAATCGTACCCGTGGTCCAG